AGAGCTGTGGAAGAGGCCTTTTTTTGGCTGCAGTGAAGATTGCTGAGGGAGTAAGTTGTAGCAGCACGATGCTCAGCACGGGCTGGAGCCGCGGCCGGGCAGGATCAGCTGAACTGTGCTGATACTCAAACCAGAAGCTCTTCTGCGGAATCCAGCCTCTGTGCGACCCACCAGCCTCCTTGTGCCGGGAGCTACGGCAACGTGTCTTACAGACACGTTCAGAAAGGGATGTGTCACAGTGAATTGGGGGACAGGGAGGTGAGGGGAGTCCAAGACTCTGGAATCTTGAAAACTAGAGAGTGAGCTATTCTCCAGCAGAGTTTATTGGGGGGGCGTGGGGGGGGGCTGATCCACCTCTTTGGCTCCCAAAGAAATACTAAATAACACTTAAAATGTTACCAGTTAACCGATGGTCAGGTAATGTTCTAGACACCCTTTTTTTGTAAATGTAGACTTTTTTTTTTTTTTACTCCTCATAAAACCCTGTGATTGGGGTTCATCGCAGGTGGGAGAGAGGAGGCTCAATGTAGCACCGGCCTTCAGTTGGCTAATGCTAGTGTTTCGTGTAGTTGAGCTTTTTCAGGTTGGTTTTTCTTTTCGAGACAGGGCCTCACTATTTAGCCCATATCGGCTCTGAACTGTTAAGGGCTGGAATTTCAGACGTGCACTTTTATGCCTGGCATCGTGTAGTTGGTTTTTAACTCAGGGATACACAGAGGGCCTCTTAAGCCAAAACATCCATGGAAATGTGGGTAATATTTATTTCAAGCTTGCAGTGGGTGGGGTGGCTGCTCTCTGTTCTGTGAGTCGAAACGCATCCAACTCAGGAGTACAGTAGGCAGATTGCTTTTTAATTTATTTTCCTTAATTCGTTAGTTGAGGCTGAAGAGTGTCTCCTGGCACTTGGATAAGGGCTTCACCACTACTTCATACTAAAGTTATACTACTACTTCATAACTTCATACTAAAGTTATCATTTTAGTCACTTTTACCAACATTTTAGTCACGTTCAGGTGCTGTGTGCCAGGAACGGCACCAAGTACTTTTACTGAGTTGTTTCGTGTGATCATTTCAATAATTCTGTGAAGCCTCTACCGTTTTTCACGTGAGAAGGATTAAAAGGTAACTCCTAGGAGGTCAGAAAGCCAGCAAGTGGCAGAAATACTTGAGCCCATCTCTGTCCATCTTTCTACCACACTGGTATTTTGTCCCAACCTCAGGCAGACAAGATTCTTTTTCAGCTTCAAAGTCTTTACATTGGGTGCTCCCTTACGTAGATCCAGACAGGTTTAATCTAATGTCTAGGTGCATTTTAGATCAGCTTTGGTCTTTTTCTGGGGTCTTTTGATACTATTTGCTGTTTCATTTACATTTGAATGAGTGATTAAATGAATGCAAGAAATCTGCAACCTTTTCTTTGTAAGAGTGATTTGGTGGTGGTGTGTGGATGGTGCCATGTGTTTATATTCAAGTCCCAGAAACCATTTTTCTCACACCTTGGGAAGGCAGCATTGAGGCACCTGGGCAGAAGCAGGGCGTTCCTGCAGCGGTTGGTGAGGTAGCAAAAACCTGGCTTTATAGCTTCACAGAAATGATCATAAAAGGAAGGCCACCTCCTTTCTTTCATTCTAGTGCTTGCAAGAGAGCAAAAAATAGCATCAACAATTAGCACAGTACTCTTCAGACAGACCAAAGAGTGCTTACCTGGCGGTAAAGGGCAATTTTTGCTTATCATTTACATGTTTCTATAAAGTAAGACTCACTCTCATTGTGGGAATTCTTGAAGATGTCCCACTCCCGTGTAAGAAAATTATAGACAAGGATATAGGATTACTACTTATGCGATGTAATAAAAGCTAATAAAATAATAACCAATTAGATGCGTATAAAGCCAGAGTATATTAAAGTATTATGCAAATGCTGATTAATTGTAATACCATAAACTCTGGGAGCAAGCAAAAGCATGCCTGATTCAAATTATAGGGGCTTTTATTTGCATTTCTACAGAATCTATTATTAGTGGGTCTCAAAGGACCTTACAAGTAATAATTACTAAAGCCCATAAATATTACCCATAAATGTCATTTTGTTAAGGGAATACAAAAGAACTCCCCTTTCTCATACACATTGTAAGAACGAAAAATGCCCAAGCAAAAGTAGGCGTGTCTGTCTGTAGAGGGTATTGGAATGCATGGGTGTTTGGCGGTGATTTCATAGGCATACAAACAGGCAGCTGTGGGAGTCAGGGTTCTCCTACTGAGCATTGCTATATACCTGGCTAGAATTCTTTATTTAGTTCTGAAATTTTACATGCATAATAGCCCTATGCAAGTCTTGCCAGTAATTTAAATTTTAACATTTCTCCATCAACTAAAACATCAGATTTGAAAAATAAAAGTTAAGCCAGGGCTCCCATGAAGTTTTAAAAAAATGTTTTGGAATGTTATTCCTGGTTTATTTTTTCCCCCAGGCTCCTAGCCTACCCATTCCATGCCGTAACTGCTTGTTCGAATAGATGGTGAAACTGACATTTATCTACATACTTGGAAACCAAGTATCAAATGCCAAGAGCCTTTCCAGTCTGGCTCAGAACACTCCCTTCTGCTGTAGTAAGCAGGGGTTGGAAAGGCAAATGGATCTTTCCCCCTTCCTCCAACTCCCAGGTCCTGCGTGACTGACAGCAAGATTTACCCCTGGTCAGTGTGGTGATGTGATTGTTCCTTCACAATCATACCTCAGTGTCACCTCGACTCAGAGAATGATGTTGACCCAAGTCTATCTCCCTTCACCATCAGGGACAGTCGGCCTGGAGAGTGGAGGGAGTTGGCTGAGGTTAGATGGGTGGGTTCTAGCTCACAGGCAGAGTAGGAGCCACAGTCCAGGTCTCTAGACTTTTTATTTTTCAGCCTCATAATGTAATGCTTCTGTTTTTAAGGTCAAACAATAGAAAAGATCTCAGTGAAAATGTTGACGTTGGGAAGCATTATTCTAAATAGAATTTTAATTAATCAATTAATTGTTTTATTTATTCACTTTCCATCCCACTCGTAGCCCCTTCCCTCCTCTCCTCCTAGTCCCACTCTTCTTCCCTTTTCCCTGTATCCCCCTTTCACTCTCCCTCAGAAAAGGGGAGAGGGAACATACCCATCCCAGCATATCAGTTCGAATCAGGACTGTGTGCATGCTCTACCATAGTGGTCTGGCAAGGCCGCCCAGCTAGGTGCAAGTAAGTGATGGAAAAGCACACAAGAGAGTCCTTGTCAGAGAAAGCCCTCATTCCACTTACTAGGAGAGCCACATGAAGACCAAGCTGTACATCAGGTCCATATGTGTAGGGGGCCTAGGTCCACTCCAAACATGGTCCTTGGTTGGTGTTTCAGTCTCTGCAAGCCTCCCTGGGCCCTGGTTAGTTGGCTCTGTTGGTCTTCTTGTGGACATCCTGTTAGAAAGTAAAAACAGAATAGACAGAGGAAGAGCTCGAAGAGAGGGAACAGGCTAGGAGAGGGAGTGCTGAGGGAAACAAGGGTGGGGATCTGATGTGAGGAGAGGGGGGAAGGAGGATAGAGGACATGCAAAGGAAAGAGAAACCTCAGCCTGGGCATCTCTGAGACAGGCTGGAGACCTAGGGCAGGGTAGGCTTCTGCGAGGATGTGGGGGTGATCTAGCAGAGACCCCTACTAGTGGGGGTCATGAAGAATGAAGAGGCCACCCTCTAACCAGAAAAGACTCCTTGTAGAGGGAGGGGAACACCAACAAAAACTTCGACCTCAAATTTACCCCACCCACAAGATGTGCAGGAGTAAAGATAGAGCAGAGATTGAGGGAAAGTCCAACCATTTCCTGGCCACACCAAGGGAGAGCCAACCCCTGATACTATACTTGCAGACTGGAGTCTGGCATAGCTGTTCTCTGAGAGGCTCCACCCAGCAGCAGATCAGAACAGACGCTGAGACTCACAACCAAACATTGGGCGGAGCCAGGGCATCTTGTGGAAGATTGGCAGGTCTCTAGACTTTTAAGTCAGACTCTCCCTCTACCTCTTGGCAATCATGATACTTTACGCCACAACAAAACTAGGAGCATAGGACCACAAGTAGTTGTTGTTGTTGTTGTGTGTGTGTGTGTGCACATACATACAGTATGTGTTTGTGTGTGTTTGGAGGCTAGAGGTTAATGTCAAATGACTTCCTCAGTTGCTCCCACTTTATTTATTTATTTATTTATTTATTTATTTATTTATTTATTTATTTATTTATTTATCCATTCATCCATCCATCCATCCATTTATTTATTTGTTTGTTTGTTTATTTATTTATTTATTTATTTATTTATTTATTTATTTATTTATTTATTTATTGGGGCAGGCTCTTTCACTAAACCTGAATCTCACTAATTTAGCTAGGCTCCTGGTTGGCAAGTCCCACAATCCTCCTGGCTCCATCTCCCCAGGCACAAGATTTTCACATGGATGTTGGGGATGTAAATTCAGGTCTTCGTGCTTGCATCACCAACACTTTACCAACTGAGCGTCTTCCCTCCTCAGTATTGTGTTTTCATCCAGGACTGTGGAGGCCAAAAGACTAGAGGCTCAGCTTCAGGTTCTGAAGAAAACAAAGAGGGCTGTGTATACAGAGTTTGGGAGGGTGGACTCTGAGAGGACTGTCACGAAGGAGAATAAATAACAGACTAGGGAGGACAGGAGGCAAGCGAGAATGCTCTTCCCGTCATTGCAGTGAGTAAAATGTATGCCAAAAGAGATTCCCCTTGTACTGAACAGTCCCTGGGGACTCCAAGCTCTTCAGAGTGATGCTGGAAAGTGAGAGAGGTGTTGAAGCAGGGGCGGCAGGGCAGCATTCCTGGAGTATGCAGGCTGCTGACAACCGCTGGCCAGCAGTGGTGTCTGGGGCGTCGGGGGGAGAATAGTTAAAGTAATTTGATGTCTATTCTGTGAGGCATGCTACCTTTCAAAAATCCTTTTTTTCATATTTTTTTTTCCCCAGGGAAAACTGAGGCTTCTATCAAAAACTTCAGTCCCTACTACAGCCGCCAGTATTCTGTGGCTTTCTGCAACCACGTGCGCAGTGAGGTAGAGCAGCAAAAGGATTCAACGTCACAATTTCTGAAGACCAAGGTAACCACGGACATTTGATTTACACCTTTCCCTCACTGGAAGAATGGTCACAGATGCTAATATTTCAATAATTTGAATGACAGTTTTTAAAACTACGCTAAAATCATTTTGTGCTAAATAGAACTGCCTTGAAGTGAGAATTTATGTAATTTTGTTGATTGTATGATCTATAGGAAAAGAAAGCTAGAAAGGTTCAAATGTCACTATGGTGCTTTTCCTCATTGATGTTTTGATACCAGGAAATTTAGCTTGCTGTTGTGAAGTTCAGTCTAAAAACAAATTCATGATTAGGTTTGTTTTGGTCAATGATCAAACATGATTTCCCCTGAGTTGTCTTTGATCTGGTATGTGTGCTTCAAAACTCCCCACCTTCCTGGAGCTTATGTAGGAGTGTAGGAGACAGACAGTAAACAATGGAAGAGACTCATAACAGGTGATGGCAGGATAATAACAAAGGCTAAGGAGAGAGATGAAGCAAGAGTCTTGTTTGGGGGGAGTTGATTGGGAAGGAAGCCCCTATAGAGATGGCATCGCATGTGATGACAAACTAGGTGGTGAACAGTAACAGCTGTGGAAAAGTATCCCCGGAAGATGGAGCAGGAAGTGGAAAGTCCCTCCAGCCCTGAACCCCCAAGACTCTACCAGCTCTGTGAGTGAGGGAGAGTGGTAGGCAGTGACTGCAGGGGGACAGGGAGGGACCTCAACCTGTAGGGACATTTTTAAGGGCTTGATTTTAAGTGTGATTGGACGGTCCATAACACAGAAATCTAAGAGAGTAGTTTGTTTGTTGTTATTGTTCTTTAAAAAAAAAAAAACAAAACAGTGTGGGTGTCACACTTGCATAGGCTTGCTGGCTAGGCAGCCTGGCCCTCAAGTTCTGGAGACCTGCCTGTCTCTGCCTGCCTGCCACTGGGATTACAGGTGTGGCTAATGCTTGTGAGACGAGCCCTTCACTGACGGAGCTGTCTGCCAGCTGGGAAGGAGCCATTTTTGACAGAGCTGGTGGAATCTGCTGTTGAGTCAACTGGAAGCAGAAATGTGAAGATGTATTGGCTTTTCACTTGAGCAAAGCAAGGAAATGGAGTTGCCTTTTGCTCAGAGAGGGTTAGGGGAAGGTGAGGATTAGGGGCAAGTGGGAGTTAGGGGTGAGTGATGGTTCGGACTGAGTGAGGGTTAGGGGTAAGCGAGTTTAGGAGTAAGGGCTAAGGGAGAGTGGGGGTTAGGGGTAAGTAGAGATTAGGATTGAGTAAGAGTTGGGGTGAGTGGGAGTCAGTTTGTTTTGCCAAGAAAAGTTTGAGATGCTGTTTTATTTTCTTTTTGAAAGATATATTTTATTTCTCTCTCTTCCTGTGTGTGTGTGTGTGTGTGTGTGTGTGTAGTGCGCACAGCTAGGGCTTCCAGAAATGGTGTTAGGTTTCCTAAAGATGGAGTTACAGGTAGCTTTGAGCCACCTGTTGTGGGTGCTGGGAACTGACTTTGGATCCTCTGCAAGAGCAGCAAACACTCTTAACCACTGAGCCAGTTCTCTAGCCTGAGATGATGATGATGGCGTGGTGATGATGATGATGATGATGGTGGTGGTTGTGATGGTGATGATGATGGTGGCTGGTTGTTCTGATCCAGAGCCCAGTAGGTAGGTAGGTAGATCTACCAGTAAGTAGATGGAATCTGGGACTGTTAGCTAATAATGGAGAGAAGCAGTGGGGTGTGATGGGAGGAGAACAGAGACAGAGTGCAGAAGCTCGGGCTTCAACAGCATTTGCAGATCCCAGAAAAGAGACGGTCCAGAAAGAAAAAAAAAAAAAAAAAAAAAAAAAAAAGCAAACCAAAACACTAAGAAGAAACACCCTGAGGAGATGGAGAAATGAGTCAAGAAAGAAGGAATGAGTGATGAGGGGCCAGCTGCAGTTGAGAGTCTGAGTTAATCAGAGAATTTAGCAGCATGGGGAATCCTATAAAACAGTCCCAGAATTTAGGGAACATGTTAAGGATGCAAGTTCAAGACCTAGAGAGAACCTTAGCGGTTAAGAACACCCATTGCTCTTGCAGAGGTTTGGGTCCTAGCACCACACGGTGGCTCACAAACACCCAGAACTCAGATCTCAAGTTCCCAATGACCTGATGTTCTCTTCTGTCCTTTGTGGGCTCCACACAGGCACGTAGTTCATATACATACACACAGGGAAAACACTTATACACATACAATACATAAGTAAACTTAAAGAAAGAAAAGAAAAGAATGCAAATTCCAGCCATGTATGGTGAGGGGCGGCCGTAACCTCAGCCCTGGGCAGACAATGGAGGGACAATCATTTGATCCCAGGAACTGGGGACCAGCCTGGGTAACAGACTCCCACCGTAAGCAAAAGCACTGCAATTTCTGTTTCCTGAAGCCAGACACTCAGACACGGTAAGCCTAGCAGGAGACTACAGTTTTGATTAAGAGGCCCAAGTTTGGGAAAAGCCAAGAACTTAAGAACTATAAAGTTGCTTTCAGCCTCATTTAAAGAGATGAGTGAGGTCCTTTTTATCTTTTAATGAGGCAAGATAGAAGGATGCCTCATTATCTGTCAGGGCAGTCATTAAGCCCTGGAATTTGGAATGGAATTTATTTCATCCCTTAGATGAGTCTTAAAAGAAATAGGCCTGTCTCTTCTTCGCTATTCACATAATTTTTTTTTTTTGCTCTAAAGAAAAGTGATGTTTTGAAGGCAAAGCATGTTTGTTTAAAAGGAGAAATCAATGTAACATCAGTAACATGTAAGACAAGAGGCATATTCCTATATTTTGCAATAATATGGAAATTGTATAGCAGAGCAGAATGAGTGTTCTCCTTATTCAGAAAACCCAATAAAGACCCAATGAGGAACCTAATAGAAATTCCTCTAGCACATATGTCAAAGCTAATGAGAGATGTTCATGAATATAAAGAGATAGAATTGATCATTGCTGGCTTGCCTTGTTCAACCAAAAATGCACTTCTTAAAAAGCAGGAAGATGAGGCCTGGCAGTGGTGGTGCACACCTTCATTTCCAGTGCTAGGAAGTGTATTGGAGGCCAGCCTGGTTTACAGACTGAGTTCCAGGACAGCTAAAGCTACATAAATAAGCCATGTCTGGAAAAACAAAACAAAAAGCAGAAAGATGGGCAAAGTGTTCCCAGCCTGGTCTCCACTGCCTTTGGAAAAGGTGTGATGAGTAGGTGGCTATTTTGAACTGTCATTATTATCATTTGGGTCATTATTATTATTATTACTATTATTATTATTATTATTATTATTATTATTATTATTATTATTATTTTGAGTCAGGGTGTCTCAATGTAGCCCTCCATGGCCTGGAACTCAAAAGATCCACCTGCCTCTGCCTTCCAAGTGCTGGGATGAAAGCATGTGCCAATGCACCTGGCAAAACTGTCAGTTAGATATAATCTGGAATTAACTGGGCAGAGAGTCCTGTTGAGGAGTTATCTACATCAAGTTGACCTGTAGATGTGTGTCTTAGGTGCTTTCCTATTGTTGCAATATGACACCATGACCACAGCGACTTACAGAAGAGTTTATTTGGGGCTCACAGTTCCAGAGGGCTATCATCCATGATCATCATGACAGGAAGTATGGCAGCGGGCAGGGAGGCATGGCAGAAGAATGGTAGCTGAGAACTCACATCTTGAGACACAACCACAGGCAGGGAAGAGAGAGAGAGAGACTTGGAATGGTGCAAGCCTTTTGAAACCTCAAAGCTTGCCCCCCTCCAACACACCTCAAAGCCGCACACTTCCTCCAACAAGCCACACCTCCCAATCCTTCCCAAACAGCTCAACCAACGTGGAAGCAAGTATTCAAACATATGAGGCCATGGGTCATTCTCATTCAAACCACCACATTGTGACTATATTGTCTTAGATGTTTAGGCTCGGGAAGACCTAACCTCCCACTGTGCTCCCAATGGGAGGCACCACGGAACTGTGCAAGAGAGAGGAAAGCAAGCAAGCAAGCAAGCAAGCAAGCAAGCAAGAATCCAACTTATTATAACTGTCTTTGCTCTTGGCTGGATTTGATGTGACTAGCTTCTTGAGTTCCCTGAGATGATGGACTGTGGCCTGGAATTATTATTATTCTCAAAGTTGCTTTTGGAAGTCAAAATGTTTTTATCACAACAACAGAAACTAAACTAGGACAACAGGAAAACCAGCTGAGTAGAAGCGACCTTGAGGCATGTCAGTGAGTTTCAGTAGATACCATAAGGTGAACTCATTACACTGCCTCACTCATTCCTGCCTACAGTTATCAAGCACTTATTAAGTGCTGCATGTGCAAAGGATATTCCTCTAATACCTTCTGCCATAGGCTCCCATTCCTAATCCATATAGAGGGAAATGAGAATCAGAAAAATACCATGTAACAAGTGTCTGCATTTTCTGTAAATGAGTAGGAAAGGAAATTCATGGTAGCCAGGAGACAGCAAGTTTCCCCAGGATTGCTCCAGTGTTGCTCACACCATAATTTCCTAAATTAGCCCTTAAATATCATGAATAATGTAGAATTATCAAGGTATATCGTCTCTTGTGACAGTTAATCATATTCATCTTCTTTAAGCCCCCGTTGGAACCAGGAACTGTTTTGTATGAAGCTGAGATCTCACAGTTTTCAGAAGACATCAGGAAATGGAAGGACAGATACATTGTGGTGAAAAACGATTTTGCTGTGGAAAGCTATGAGAACAAAGAGGTAAGATATGCCCATGTCACCACCATTTCTTGTAGAATTCTTAAAGCATTGGCTGTGTTAATAAGCATGCCCTGGTCTTGGCAATTGATTGATCAGGCACTCATCTCAATTAAGAAGGTATTTGTTGATCACCTACTGCATGCCAGATGTCTTATATGGATGTGAATGGATAGTAGCTGATCAAACACGTGATTACAGGCTTCGGAAAAGCAATGGCAGATGAGTGTGGGAAATGGGCTGTAGGGCTCCTATGGTGTCTCGTGTGGGAGCTCTTTCAGTGATCGTTCCCTCAACTTCAGCCTCTGGCTTGTCACTGGGTCCTCTGTCCTATCTCTTTCCACTGTTAAGCCTTACATCTGACACATGGCTGAGGAGTTATTAGTCAGTAAGAGGGACTACATCTGCAGGGTTTCCCACGGACCTCGAGCGCTCTGAATGCTTTGTTCCAGTTACACTTAAGGATTTTCGTTTAGTTAGACCTTTTCCTGATTATCTGTCTTATCTTTTTACCAAGTGGGGAAGAAAAAAAGCTTAGCTGTTAAAGTGTCTGCACCTAGAGGACTTAAGATTTCTTTTTTTTTTTTAGGTTTCTGCTTTCTTCCCTCTTACAGAGGTCATGTTCAGCCAGAGCAGAAAGGACACTGAGCAGTGAATGTGGAAATCTGCAGTTTAGTCATGTTGTGTCACTGATTAGAAGTAAACTATGACCTTCTCTGTCTCCATGCCTAGTGAGCTGAGGAGTGAATCAAATGGTCCCAGCAGATTCTAGAGCGCTCACGCTGTTTGCGCTTCCCACACAGACACACTCTCCAGCCCTCTTCGAAACCCTTGCCTGTATTTGAATTTTATTTGAGCCTCAGTCCACACTCCCAATTGTCAACACACTTTGAACAATAGTGACAAACCATCACAGATTTTTAGACTTTTCATAGACCTCCTACAGTGTCTCCTTAGAAGGCTGAGGAGAGGTGGGGTTATCTCAATAACTTCATGGGCTTCGAATTACATCTTTGACAGTTACCAGATGCATGCCTTTAGCCAACTTACATATCTTCTCTGTTCTCAGTTTTCTCTTCTACAGTCTGGCAAGTACAGCTCCTTAGAGTGAAGGAAATGAATGCACTGGAGCTCTGAGCATCTGACCAGCCCGTGGTTTAGTCCAGAACAGAACAATTGTTGATAGGATTGCTACTAACTGAAGAGGGCTCGTTATTAGATTTATTGAGATTTTCACCGCATTTGATAGAAAACAAAATTTCTCTGTAAATTAAACTTTCCTTCTTTTTTCACTTTTAAAGATGCTCTCCCTCGATTTGAAATTTATTCTTTCTTTTCTTTGCTCATCAATTTCAGCTAATTTATTTAAGTTACAAAGAGAGGATGAGCAAATTTGATAATGATTAAATATCTACAAACCACCTGGGTACTGAAATGAAAAGTCCACGTAGCTTGTTATCATTGTCTGACATTATGACAAAATCCTATTTGTTAATTTGTAAAAATATTTTTTTAAAATCACATGTTGGACGTTAACTATTCATCAGTGTCTTGTTATTTTATTGAGAATCCAATTTGGTGTTGAGCACAGGGACATCAAAGCGCTCTCATTTCATAATTCACCCCAGTTTCCCTCACATTTGCCGGGGACTTGACAGATGCAAGGATGTGCCTGGAGTCTGTCACTCACCGCTGGGTCACTGCACGTTACTTGACTCACCGCTGGGTCACTGCACGTTACTTGACCCTGGTGAGTTTCGGTCTTCTCACTCGTAAAATGGAGATAATGTCAGAGTGTTGTCTTGAGGATCAAGTGATAGGATGTGTAAGTGTATAAACGCTTATTATAACCCCAAACAAAATTCATAGTTGAGTCCTGTCCAAATCGGATTCTTTCGCACTGTCTCAGAAGCATACCAAGATGGATTCTCCTGCTGTGCTCTGGGTCCTCAGCGCATTTAAGCAGTTGGTTCTTCCAAGTATGAAAGCAAGTTCTGTTGCACTCTGAGTGTTTGTTTTGTTTGGGTCTCTCCAGGCACCGTCTTACAGATGGAATGCGTTATTTTGAGTTTGTTGCCCAGATCAATGTTATTTTAGTTATTCCCAAGGGCACACTTTCGATTTGGGGTCGCACAAGTTTCTTGGTTTCGGCTCTCGGTTTGCCCCCAAGTTACTGTCACTTGTCTGGACAATCAGCCTGCCCATCAGATGCACACACTTGCATTTCATCTCATTTGCTTGTCCCTGAGGTGTGTTGGCCTAGGCACTTAGCCGAGCACCAGATCGCCTTCGGGGTTCTCAGACAGCGGTATGTCTTATCTGCCAGCCAGAGTGTCTTCTGATGTCATGAAACTGCACTTCCATTCCAATGACTTCACTGCAGAAAATCCAGTCACCTCTGAGGGCCAATGACTGCACATTTTATTATGACAATATTTTTGTGTTTTTGCTGAAACTCCATGGTAACTATCATTGTAGTTACGTGTTCCACACTTTCTCTCAGCAACACATCACTGTGTCAGCCGAGTACTTTGGGCAGTGTGCTCATGTGCATATGTGTGTGTGAGAGAGAGAGAAAGAGAGATTGCCATCCTTATGGTTATCAGGGTGAGTCAGAGACACCAGCGGCTGGAGTGGTGAACATGATGTAGACTTACAGATGTTACTGATATTCCGTCCATCCATTTAAAAACGTACGTCCTGGGAATCTCTCTGAGACTAGAGACTCTGGTTTCCCATGCTGGGAAGGACCATTAGACAGAAGTTAAAAAAAAAAAAAAAGGTGAATAAATGACCCTAAATGACATAGTTTAGGGATGCCTATCACTGGGTAGATATGCCTGGACTGGTTTGTTGTTTAAGATTTCTAATATTTTCCAAAAATATGTGTTGGCAGAAACCATTCACTTGTGCCTTTTCTTCTCAGGCCTATCAGAGAGGAGCTGTTCCTAAGAGCAGAATTCTTGCAGCTGGCGGGAAGGTGTTAACCTCAGAAGAAGAGTATAGCCTCTTATCGGATAAGCATTTCCCAGATCCCACTGGTGAGTCACTCTGTCTTTCCCTGAACTTTCTTTGTATAGCAGACCAGCAGGCCTCAGTGATGGAGAACGGTTCCTGTTCCCTTCTACGGATGAGTGGCAGTGGCTGGAGACTTGGCAGGTATTTGTTGTAGACAATGCTCTTTAAAAAAAAACACCACAACACTCAGGGTAACCCTGATGATGACAGATGAGTGGCCTGAGGGCCCAGTAATGCCAGGGTGGAAAAGCCTTAGGCGAATCCCTATACTCTGTATTCAGCTAGAAAATAGAATTACGTTACTCTAGTCAACGTCATACCGTTTCTATTACTTCACTCAGTCACACAGGCAGCTGCTGTGTTCCTGGCACTTGGCAGGAGTGTTCCTGGAGCTGTGGGGATATGCTGTAGAATTTAATAACAGTGTCAAAGCAGCAGAAAAATACAGGTTAAGCATCCTGTGTGACGTGTACGATCTCGTTTTTCGGTGCGCAAGCCTCGGTTTGTTAGGGATTGTTATCTGACTTTACAGTGATGTGCAATAAAAAAGTCTGAACACTTTAAATAAAGGTCCCGGGGACTCATAGCTACCAAGGGAAAGAAACCATTGCCCTTGTCCACCAGCCTATAAATAACGCCGAGCGCTGCCGTAGAGAGGGCTCCAGCTTAAGGACGAGGGGCTGGGTTTTGACACAGCTCCCGAGGGACTGCTTAGGGAATGGGTTTTGGGGCAGCGGGCCCTGAGTACTTCTGGCTTCTGTTCCTTCTGCTTTAAAATAGAGCTTTGAAGTTGAGAAATTTGGAAGAATCGTTTCGGCTTTAAAATTCTTTGATTCTCATTCATTTCACTTATTTTTATGTAGAGAAGATGATGGGTGCTATATAGGCTAAATAGAGCATTTCATAGAAATTGATGAACTGTGCATAATGTAATAACTCCATCTGCCTTTGTGTAAATCACACCGCACACTCATTACCTTCTTTCTTGAAGAGAGCCCCGGATCTTATTAATGGGAGTCATCATTTCATTAGAATTTATGGAGAACCGTATAATCATTCCATCGGTTGTTATTCTGTAGTAGATTGCTTAGTGTGGTTTTTTAATAATACAATTATAGGTAGTACATGGACCATAAACCTAGATTATCAAATTATTACTAAATAATTCAGGCTAAAGCAGTGTTTTATGTGCCCAGTACCTAGTACTATACATGATCTTTTCTTCAGCACCTACCTGTCTGCCATGTTGGCTGTGTGCCCGAAGCTGAAAATGAGAATTCCAGCATGCTGACTGTTAAGAATCCCACCAGAACTTTCCAGTGTAATCCACCAAACAGACAATGCATCTATGGATTCATTGATGAAATCACATCAGAAGGAATGAGAAGCACAAGGCCTGTGTGACTCATGCCTAGAGAGCCCAGGGCTTCACACTCAGCGTTTCAATGACTATTTTCATTGTATTGTGTGGCCTGCTGAGTTTTAAATATAGACTATTCCACAGTAGGTCATTTGTGATATCCTTGTAACTCAACTCAGAAAAAAAAAAATGTAGCTTGACGGAATCTGGAAAATTGTTATGGAAGCTTTAGCGAGAGGTTACTAGAGGCTAGGAGTGAGTTTTGTGGGGCCTGTTGAAGCTTTTGAGGCTAGAGAGTCAGTGTTACTTTTTGTTGTTTGTACAAAACTGTGGCACCTTGGAAAGGGCAATGAAGACTTGCTTCACAAACCATGGTAATCAGCCTTACCCCACGGTGCTACATTCTACCCCAAAGAACAAATTTAAACACATTAAAAATGGGAGGAATTACCTTTGGCTGAGGAAGGCACTAGAGGCTAATGGGTAAATGTCTGTTCTTTGTGGAATGTTCAGCCAGGGTGGTCTGCCCAAAGAGTCTTCATGCTTGACTTCAGCAAGTCACAGATTTGGCATCTTATTAGTTGGAATCTGGTTTGCTGTGCACAGTATAATTCAAGATTTATAAATATACAAGATTTCATTATCTTCACATAAGTATTTGAGTTTACTCTAGGGTTAGTGTGGCAGAGCGGCATATTTGTCGAGGACTCGGGCTCTTCTGGCTTCCTCCTCTTTTGTGTCTAGAGTTGGGCACTTATTAGCACTTATTATTCTAACAACAACATGGATGCTGGGGCTACGGCTCCTTTCAGAAAGCATGAAGGAGAAAGGGGAGGAAGAGCAGGATGCAGTTCCTTTCTTTAAGGATGCCTGCAGGAGGCTTGATATGTCAATTTACGTTATTCCCCCCCTTCCCCGCCTGAACTTCAGAGCAGTGGGCTACTGTCCTGCAAGGGAGGCTGGAAATGCATGTGAAGTTGTCAGGCTCCAAAACCTCTTGCTCAGTTAAAAGACAAAGCTTGTTACTTCAAGGAAGGGGAGTCTCCTCAGTGTGGTGTATAACTGTTCGTTTCTGTGTTTGTGCATACAGTTGATTCCTTATTACATTCCAGGTGTTGTGCCAGGCGCTGGTTGGCTCAGCTTGTGTTCCCAGGCCAGTCAGTGTGTTGCCTTCAGGTTTCAGGACAGGGAGACCAGGTCCTGCACTTGTGTTAAATAAATCTTATTTTGGATTATTAATTTTCTAGTAGCTGACTTAGTTCTGAAAGCATCCCTATGGTTCAGCTCCATTTCTTGGGATGCCTAGCATGCGCCAGCCTCTTAGAGGGTCTCACTTTACTTCCTTTTCTAGAACTCTGTGCTCACAGAACACATGTGCTCCCCAGGACTCCAGAAAAAAAAAAATTGGGTCTTTTAACCAAGTGATGTCATGTGATAGGGATACAAAGATGCAAGGATATGGCTAGAGTAGAGTTCTTCCTTCCTTCCTTCCTTCCTTCCTTCCTTCCTTCCTTCCTTCCTTGTTGTTCTTTTTTGTTTGTTTGTTCTAAGACAGGGTTACTCTGTGTAGCCCAGGCTGTCCTGAAATCTATCTGTAGTCCGGGCTGGCCTCAAACTCACAGAGATCCTCCTGCCTCTCCCTCTGGGTGCTGGGATTAAAGGCATACACCCAGCCTGGAGTAAGTTTTCTGAGACAGGTAGGGTTTCACAGGAGTTTCTAAGAATTGATTTTGAAGAAATAGTTAAACATTTTCAGTGTGTGTTTAGGATTGAACCCAGATATTGAGCAACTACTCTTCCATTGAACTACAGCCTGCAGCCTACAAGTCTTTTCAGGACTTGTAAAAATTTTCTAGACCAACAGGGCAGACCTACTCATTCAACATGATGAAGTTGAATGTCTTCTAGGCTCTACGATTCTGCTATGAGCCGAGGATATGAAGATATGTCAGAAGTGGCCTCCATCCTCTGGGGGCCCCTGTTCAGGGAAGGGTACCCTTGAGAATCAAGAGGCAGGGTTCGCCTGCCCACCCTTCCTTCCCAGTGTGTGCCAGGCAAGGAAGCTGGCTACTGTCATATTTAGAACTTTAGAGAGCACACAGTTCTGTATCAGTGGCAGGTGCCAGTGAAGGCTTCCCAGGGGCAGTGAAGGGTGAAACGATTTTTCTCTAAAAGAGCATGATGGGAAACAAGAAAGGTGATAAGGACTGTGGGAACAACTTAAAAGTTGTAGACTGGATGGACACCGTTTGGAGGGATAAAGACCAAAAGGAGAGCGGAACCAAACGTGCAGCTAGACAAATGCATTTAACAGGGAAAAAGAGAGTTAGCAAAGGAAGCCATAAGGTGCAAAAGAATACTTTTTTTCGATTTTTTTTATTATTTTTTAATATTAGTTACAGTTTATTAACTCTGTATCCCAGCTGTATCCTGCTCCCTCATTCCCTCCCAACCCCACTCTCCCTCCCTCATCTCCTCCCTGCCCCTTTCCAAATACACTGATAGGGGAGGACCTCCTCCCCTTTCATCTGACCCTGGTTTATCAGGTATCTTCAGGACTGGTTGTGAAGTTCTCCTCTGTGGCCTCGCAGGGCTTCTCTTCACTTGGGTTGGGGGGAGGTCAAAGAGCCCGCCATTGAATTCACATCAGAAATAATTCCTGTTCCCCTTACTAGGAAAACCCACTTGGATACTGGGCTACCATGGGCTACATCCGAGCAGAGGTTCTAGGTTATATCCATACATGGTCCTTGGTTGGAGAAACAGTCTCATAAAAGACCCCTGTGCCCAAATATATTTGGACCCTGTGGAGTTCCTATCCTCTCCAGGTCATATTAACTCCCCCTTCTTTCATATGATTCCCTGCACTCTGCCGAAGGTTTGGTTATGAGTCTCAGTATCTGCTTTGATACACTGCTAGGTAGAGTCTTTTAGAGGCCCTCTGTGGTAGGCTCCTGTCCTGTTACTTGTTTTCTCCTATATCCAATGTCCATCCCATTTGTCTTTCTAAGTGAGGATTGATCATCTTACCCCGGGTCCTCTTTATGGTTTATATTCTTTAGGTGTATAGATTTCAGTATGTTTATCATATCTTATATAGGTCTATATAAGTGAGTATATACCATGTGTCTTTCTGCTTCTGGGATACCTCACTCAGAATAATCTTTTCTAGATCCCACCATTTGCCTGCAAATTTCATGATTTCTTTGTTTTTAATTGCTGAGTAGTATTCCATTGTGTAAAAATACCACAATTTCTGTATCCATTCCTCTGTTGATGAACATCTGGGCTGTTTCCAGGTTCTAGCTATTACAAATAAAGCTGATATAAACCTCATGAAACTGAAAAGCTTCTGTAAAGCAAAAGACACTGTTGTTAGAACAAAATGACAGCCTATAGATTGGGAAAGGATCTTCACCAACCCTACACCTGACAGAGGGCTGATATCCAGAATATATAAAGAACTAAAGAAGTTAAAATGCAATAAAAAGCAATTGGATGAAAAAATGGGATATGAAGCTAAACAGAGAATTCTCTGTAGAGGAATATAGAATGGCAGAGAAATACTTAAAGAGATGCTCAACATCCTTAGCCATCAGAGAGATGCAAATCAAAACAACCCTGAGATTTCACCTTACACACATCAGAATGGCTAAGATCAACAACTCAAGTGACAACACATGCTGGAGAGGTTGTGGAGAAAGGGGAACCCTCCTCCATTGCTGGTGGGAATATAAACTTGTACAACCACTCTGAAAATCAATCTGGCGCTTTCTCAGACAATTAGGAATAGTGATTCTTCAAGATCCAGCTATACCACTCCTAGCATATATCCAAAAGATGCTCAAGTACACAACAAGGACATTTGCTCAAAAGAATACTTTTAAAAGAGACACAGTGACAACCAGGAGAGATGCGCTCCCGGAAGTCAGTGAGAGGGAATGTTGTCCAAAGAATGGGTTGCTAGCAGCGGCAAGCATTACAGCTCAGATTAAAAGGACAATTATCTACAGCGAGTAGATAAGCCGTGGACTGGTGGCCAGGGTGGCATTAGTGACTTCAGTCATTGGGTTGAGGAGCTGGTGGGGTGGGAATCAGGCTGAAGAGAGAGAGGGACACACTGTGCTGTCAGCACATGTTGCTCAGCTTTGCCGTGGATGAGGGAACCCAGGGAACCGGAGCCTGCAAGGAACAGTGAGCTCCAGAGGTAGATAAGAAGGGAGCCTGTGCGCATGTCTTTGGAGGTGCTTTCAACAGTAGGAAGCTGAAGAGGTGTGCCGGCTGTCTGAGTGTCTCTCTGGAGGAGTAGACTATCTCTGCGTGAAGAAAGGCTCTTCTAGCAGTCGGATGGAGAGGAGATGAACCCATTTCTCTACTACCTTGCCATCCTGTGGCTGTTCCAGATACGGTTACGGATTGAATTAAGTATTTAAAAGACAAGACTCATGCTTTAAAACGATCTGTGTTTCCATTATTTCTCTAGCTTCCACCGAGAAGAACTCTCAGCCTTTCGTGGTCCTGCCCAAGGCATTCCCGGTGTACCTGTGGCAGCCATATTTCAGGCATGCCTACTTCTGTTTCCACGAGGCCACTGAACAGCAGAGGTTCAGCGCTCTTCTGAATGACTGCATCAGACACCTGAATCACGGTAGGCTCGGCTGCTGGCTTTCCTAATGGTCACCTTTTCCAAGCTGCCTTGGTCTGCTATCGCATCGTATCTGCTACTGTACTTCTTAGAGCCCCAGAAGGCATTCCCTGGGGAAGGGAAGAGGGGGCCATGGGCATCGAGTTCTGAGCACAAGGAGTCTGAAGTCTCAGTGGAGTTATTTGATGGCTTGGTGCAGGCATGTTCTAGACTGTTTAGTCATTACCCTGGCCATTCCATTCATTGTATAATTCTTCCCACTCCATTCTCCTGCCCTTTTTATTTTGTTTGTTTGTTCATTTTTGAAGATTGATTTTGAATACACCATGTTGCCAGGTGATACCAGTTGTCTCTTACTCACTATGCAGCCTAGGCTGGTCTTGAACTCATAGTAAGCCTCCTGCCTCAGTCTCTTGAGCAGTGGGATTATGAGCATGTACCATCAGCTCAGATTTCACGGTGCTTTTAATTACATGCCAGCAAGAATGTGCCGGTTGTCTCTGGTCTTTACGCCGCTTTTCATTCATTTCCTCGTATGTTTCTGTGTAGCAGTCACTCAGGAAAGATTAGTGGCATGGTTCACTGTAACCTGAGATTTGTTTGTCAACTAGCCGTCATGTTGGCTAGCTTCCTATTGCTGTAGCAAACAAAGTTTCCGTTGGCTTACATTTTGCTGTCTGTGGTTGATTGGCCTGTTGGTCTGGGCGTACGAGGAAGATGCCCATCTTAGCAAGAGGGAAACAAGAGATGAGAGTGGGGTAGGGTCCCACCCTCTGCTTCCAGGGCAGGTCCTCAGTCGTCTTCAAGACTTCCCACCACACTACATCCCTTGAAGATTCTACCCCAAAGCACAAAACTGGAGACCAAGCCTTTCACACACAGCCCTTTGGAGGACTTACCTAAACCACAGAGGCAGTTCTTAAAACTTGAAGGCATTTAAGATTCGTGGGGGAAACCTGATGAAAGTCTGGGGAGCTAGCCTGGTGGTTATGAGTGCTTGCTGCTCTCACAGAGGACCAGAGTTCCAATCCTAGCACCCGCTTTGGGTAGCTCACAGCTGCCTGTAACTCCAGCTCCTCTGGCCTCTGCAGACACCTGCACTCATATGCACGTATTCACACGCAGACACAGACACATAATTTAAAAGAAAACTAATCTTAAAACTTAGTTAAAGCGGGCTGGAGAGATGGCTCAGCGGGTAGGCGCATTATCTACTCTTCCAGAGGTCCTGAGTTCAGTTCCCAGCAACCACATGGTGGTTCACAACCATCTGCCCTGGGATCTGATGCCCCCGTCTGGCATGTGGATAGAGAACTCATATACATTCAATAGTAAATAAATCTAAAACAAAAAACAAAAAACAAAAAAACTTAGTTAAAGCCCAGGCTCTTGGGTTCTACCCTCAGACAGTCTAATTGACTGTGATTGGTGGGAAGTACGATTTGCTTTTTTAACAAACTTCCAAGTGTTGTCACTGGGCACCCTCAGAATGGTGCTTTTGATGGCATTGTTATGCCTTTAGGTGTGGATTTACTTACTCATCTACGGGTAAATAAAAATTTAAAAAGGGTTTTTTTGTTCCAGTGTGTTGTTTTTGACATTTATATGGACGTAGGTTTGTTTGGGCTTGGAGATAACTGAACTCTGTGTTCCTTGGCAGTTGGAAAGGCAGGCAGTCAAATGTCACATAAGTCTCTGCCAACCCTGTATGGGTTGGAGTAATGGAGCATGCAGAGCTCCTCTCTTTGGGAGTCTAAATGCAATGCGAACAGGATGGAGCAAGTACACCCACAAATTCTAATTTGATAGCTAGCAAAGTTAATGTGTTAAAGAGTAGCTAGAAGCTGCTGCCAAGAGAAAAAGTTTGTATAGATGATCCCTACTCTGAAATAGCTTAACTGAAGGATTTTCCAGATCATGAGGGTGCAAAAGTACTACCCATCTGGGATGGCTATGTGCAGTGTGATGCTCTCCTTGACTTGGACAAGGAATGCTCCCTGCTATGTCACTAGCGCACTTTGTATATTGTGTTTTGTGGCCTGGTAGCTGACCAGTCTACAAGACGCCCAACCTGACACTTTATAGGGGAAATCTAACACTTTATTGTAAAATTGGTTTTACACGAAGGAGATGATTTTCCTCAACTCTAGGTTGAGGTAAGTGAGCATGTTTAAGGCAGACTAGGCTAAGCTGTAGTGTAGGTTAGGTGTATTCGATGCACTTTCTTAATCCCTTCCTTTTTTTTTTTCCCCTTTGAGACAGGGTTTCTTTGTATATCCCTGGCTGTCCTGGAACTTACTCTGTAGACCAGGCTGGCCTTGAGCTCATACAGATCCACCTGCCTCTGCCTCCTGAGTGTTGGCATTAAAGGCGTACAACACCACCGCATTTTCAGCTCACGAGGGGCGTGTTGAGATGTTACCCACTGTAAGTCAAAGAGCACTGGAAGTCAAGTCAAGTATGTATGTGGCGCTGAAGACATGCCAAGTTAGCACTTTATCAAGTACGCAGCCATCCTCCAGCCCTGTGCAGAATTTTAAGTTTGTTTTGTTGGGGAGGTCTCTGAACACATGGTTTTTGAGCTGAGTAAAAAGTAAAGAGTACCCCGCCACACGCACTGCAGCTAATTTTTATCATACGCCTATTTCACGTTTGGGGGTTTCCCTGTCAGTTCCACAGAGAGAAAGTCCCTGGTGCTACATCTCAGCCAGTTCTTGATATGTATGTATGTATGTGTGTACACATATGTACATGTGTCATGGCATGCATGTGAAGATCAGATGATAAATTGGGGAGTTTTTTCCTGCTATCACGCAGGTTCTGGGGATCAAACTCATTTTGTCAGGCATGGCAGCAACTGCCCTTACCAACTGAGCCCTCTTGCCAGTTCCTGAGTTTTAACATGTACGTCAATAGAGGCCAATAACAAATGTAATAACTCCGTTTTGCTACAGCAGCTCCAAGCAACACAACATTGGCTCTTAATGAGAACCTCTGTGGAAATGACTTCCTTATGAATACTATGCCTGTGTCTTTAATGTTTTAGAGACAGAGACTCGCCTGGCATTAGCTCAGTTTTCAATATACGTAGAACCTCTGCACTTCAGGTCTTGGTATAGTAAGAACACACAGCTGGCCCACAAACCAGGAGACACCAAGTTGCGCTGAGCAGAGGACGTGCTCTGCCCAGTCAAAGGAACTTGCTGCATTCCCCATTCCTTGTACATAATAGGAATTTCTCAGGGACTTTTGGATGGTGTGTAGCCTGCAGTGAGACTCCATTTATGGAAGATCTCAGTCAACTCAGAAGCCAGCTCTGCTCTCTAGGACGTTGTCAAGGCACGAAGACAATGAAGTCTAGTTCTATTTCCCTGGTCTGTGGCATATTCTTCAAACCAAAGACCGTTTGTTCCCCAGTGACTCTTTATGCAGACAACCGGGCATAGGCCATCCTAGCGTCGCAGAGAGCAGTCCTTGGTTGTTGCAGGCCGATGAGCTCATGGGGCTTTCCCATCTTGCCCCTCCCCCTGGTCTCCCTCCCTTGCATTTGACGGCACAATGTACCACTGTTTTTACTGAGTCACTTTTTCTGTCCCAAGTCACCTATTATTCATTGTGTGGTCTTGAATAAGTCGTTAAGAGGCTCTTTCTCAAGCTGCCAGTTCACTGTGTTGGCCAGTTGTTTAGAAAGGGCTGATGAAACACTGCCTGTGACGAGGGCCTGAAACTCTGAAGGGGCTGCTGACACTGGTGACTTCTGCCTCAGTCAAGCAGAAGGACTCAGGCTGCTGGTGTCACTGCTCCACCGGAGAGCTCTGCTGAGAACGGGGCCCTAGATGCTTGAGTCTGTGAAGTCAGCACTGTTGCTCCCACGTGGGCTTCTTCATAGACATCCCCTAGTGCTCAGGTCAACAACAGGGCAGCCAGCCCACTTGTCCCAAAAATGTTGGGTCCAAAATGTTCTGGACATTCATATCCATTCATTCAGAATCCACGGAGCACAAGAAAAGCACTTCTCTTGTCCTTAAGTACTTCTCTTGTACTTAAGAGGTATATGTTTTTCCTCTTTAACCTTGACAAAGGTCCTATCTGTATCCTCTTCTTATATAGTATGGCTGTCTGAAGATAGATAAGGACCAGTGGAGAGATCTGTGGTCCTTCGCCTTCCAAGGGAGGGAGCAGCCGCCAGGATTATTTTCACCAAGGAGCTCCGAGTGTGCTGGCTTGATATAAGAAGGTCTCACACAAGATAAAGCTTCATAGGATATCGCATTCCAGCTCAGTTATCACATGGCATTCGTGTGCAGTAGCTGCCACCGCTTGTCCATCTAGAATTCACGCTGTACTCCCCATCCCTGACCGTGTCAGGTGCCACACGGTGGGATTTATATTTCCAAGATATAAATCTGAGGCAAATTTTTTTTTCTGCAAAACTCACTAATACAGAGCTGAACACAGGCTGTGTGGATGATGGTTCTTATCAGTGCAGTGCCTGTTTCTCTAGCTGCAAAGATGCAGGAAAAGGGGACCGTGTTCCTGGCAAGAGGAATAGGATAATTGAGAGCTGGGGAGCAACACTGATTAGATTCTTAGAGGAACTGAAGGAATTCTGTGAGCTGGAGAGCATAGAGCAAAAAGAGGAGACCAGGGGAAAGGGGACAATGGAGTGGATCTAGCAGGAAAGGGGCTTTCTGTTCTATACTAGGAATCTGGATGTTACCCCCAAGAGTTGTAAGTAGATAAGTGACCTGATCCTCATTTACTTTCAGGGGTCACAGTGACTGCAGCATAAGCAGTGTGGATGGGAGAGTAACAGTTTGTGGTGCCAGGAGGCCACTTAGGAAGTTTGGGCAGGCAACAGCAGATAGCTTGTCCAGACAGAGGGCATGAATTAGTGAGAGAAATTTCCAAGAGGTAGCCATTGTTCTTGCCCTAAAGGATTTGGAAAAAAGAGAACGTCTAGTAGATACAGTATTACTGCATGAATGGTGATTCTGCAATGG